TGTTCTGAGGTCTCCTCCGTCTCTGCCAGTCAGACATTGCAAAACCTTAGTGCGTGGTAGCCCCTGCAGAGGGCCAATAAGGCATGTTTACAACAACAGCTTCTCTGTCCTGAATATAATGATTGTTTCTGATTCAGGACATACGGTTGTTTCCAGGATACTCATGCCAAAAATACGAAACATGGCAATCTTAGTGCTGTGTTGAATATGTATTCGGGGGGGGGGGGGGGAATTAGCTGCCAAGGGTCAGAACTGTGGCTAAGTTTCCTCACTCCACATTGAATTCTTGCAGGCAATTCTAGGCTAATCGCTCGGTACAAAATCTCGCTGGGGATATTAGGGGCAACCTGTGTCATTCTGGGATCGGCCGTGATTGCGTTGATCGTGTTTGGTAAGTTCTTAGATGTCTGTCTTCGTTTTCCAAAAAACAAACAAACAAACCCAAAAACCCTTTATTTTAAAACCACATGGCATGTGTAGTGCACAGTTCCTTGATCAAAACTCTGGGGGGAAAGGGATTCAGAGTGAGGGGAGGGGTAGACAACGAAGGGGATTTGTGTGCCCTCCCCCAGTAAATGTACAGGTAAGGTGGATCATAGGGACGCGGGTGGCGCTGTGGGTAAAACCTCAGTGCCTAGGACTTGCCGATCGTATGGTCGGCGGTTCGAATCCCCGTGGTGGGGTGAGCTCCTGTCTTTCAATCCCAGCTCCTGCCCACCTAGCAGTTCGAAAGCACCCCTAAGTGCAAGTAGATAAATAGGTACCGCTTTATAGCGGGAAGGTAAACGGTGTTTCCGTGTGCTGCGCTGGTGCTGGCTCGCCAGAGCAGCTTCGTCACGCTGGCCATGTGACCCGGAAGTATCTCTGGACAGCGCTGGCTCCCGGCCTCTTAAGTGAGATGAGCGCAGAACCCTAGAGTCGGACACGACTAGCCCGTACGGACAGGGGTACCTTTACCTTTTTTAAGGTGGATCATCTTAAACTAGAGCACTTGGTATCTTTTCAGTTTAGAAAGAGGTTGTCTGACTCTCAGGCCTGGCTTGCCCATGAAGCAAGGTGAGGCGTTGGCCTCAGGGTAGCAGGCCTTCAGACAGCTGGAATGCCCACCCAGATAATGGCTAGCTGTGCAGACCATGGGTAGGCAAACTAAGGCCCGGGGGCTGGATCTGGCCCAATCGCTTTCTCAATCCGGCCCGCGGACGGTCCGGGAATCAGTGTGTTTTTACATGAGTAGAATGTGTGCTTTTATTTAAAATGCATCTCTGGGTTATTTGTAGGGCATAGGAATTCGTTCACACACACACCCCAAAAATAGTCTGCCCCCCCCAAGGTCTGAGGGACAGTGGACCGGCCCCCTGCTGAAAAAGTTTGCTGACCCCTGGTCTAGAGCTCAAGATGTGAGGTGCCTCTGCCCAAAGCTGAAACGCAGTGCCTAATTCTCTCCCTCTTCCTGGTGACGTCTAGTAATGCAAAATATTACGGTAGGCTTGTTGTCGCATGCAAAGTGTTTTTCAGCCCAGGTAAGGGTCAACCAAGGAAGCAGGGAGGTGGGGCACTGTAACATTAGGTGACATCGTATCACACATAGCAGAAGATGTTGAGAGAGAGGGGGGGGGGACTCAAGTTTGGGCAAAAGACACATGACTATCATAATGTTTCATTGCAGCCTTAAAAGTATGCATTTGCCCTGAGCAGTGGTGCAGTGGTGATTTGTGAAATGCATGCACTGTTAATGGCAACCAACGTAGTCAAACCCCTTCTAAGACAATACAACAAAACTGCACTGTTGAGCGTTGCAGGCATTACAGCTTCCTAGTTAAGTCAGCTTTTTTCTATTTTATCCCTCCCCCCCCCAAAAAAAATAAAAAGTTGAAGATAACATAGAGTTACGACCGCAAGGGTCATCTAGTTCACCTCTGTGGGGTTCTTTTTTTTTGGGGGGGGGGTAGTTCCCTTTCTTTCAAGGGGGAAAGAAACATTTGTGAGTGTCTATTCTTTCATCCTTTAAATCATCTCTCTGGTGTTCTATCTACACCTCACATGTAGGCTTATGCCTTTTACTTTGCCGGAGAATTGCTTACCCGCGTCCCCAGGACCGAGAAGAGAATAAAAAAATTCCAGGAAAGTTTCTTCTTTGGAGAAAAGAGTTTTATTGCAAATCTGTGCACAGAGACAGCCAGCAGAATATAGTTTCTGAAATCTGACTGTGTTGTTACCATGTTCAGCAAGCATTTTTATACCTGAAAGCATTCACCCTCCTCCCATACCTCCCCCCAAAACTTCCCCAATCAGCTGGCAAGTTTTCAACTCATTCCCTTTTAGGGCATATCAATATTTGCTGGCTAAGGCTGCTAGCTAAGCACTTCCTCTGCTGGTTAAGCATTTTCTCTGCTCAGTAAGCACCCCCTCCCACCTCCTTGTACACGTGTCTTCTTTTGCCAGCTAAGCATTCCCTTCGTATCTCTTATCTTGCATTACTTAAAGCAGAAGCAAAGCAGGAAACATCTTGCTAGTGGTTTTTAGTTAACAGCAGTTTCTGGCTAGGCAGGAAACGACCTTCTGACCTGTGGCTAACATCAGCAGTTTCAGATAGCTGGTTAGGCAGGAAACGGCCTCTTGACCTGTCTGATTTAGATTCTGCAAGCGACTGCAGTCTTGAGCTGTTTAACCACAATAGCTTAGTGCAGGAATTTACTATGTGTAGATAATATTAATGATTAATCGTTCCCCTCTCCCTTCACTCCCTCCTCTTCTTCTGAACAACCTAATACTTAGGTTCGTTCTGGGGTATGGGCCTATACTCCCTCATCACAGCGATGACCGTGGGCCCTAGCTTCCGTGACAGGAGTCTTTGCATCATTTGCTGCAAGCATTGCAATAAGCAGGGGATACAGAGGCAAAGAAGCAAAAGGATTAATAGCGGTCCTGCTAATAATACTATAACATTCCTGAGCCAACTGCCATCAGGGAGCCAGGAATACAACCAACCCCATGCATCACTCCCTGTGGCTTTCAGCGGGTTTTCAGCTATCATTGTTTCCATGTGGTTGATGGTGGCTGAAATACTGACATTATTATCTGGGATGAACATACAACAATGAGAATGAACCAGGGCACAAACCCCACCCTTTGAGGCCAACATCACATCCAAAGCATAGCGATTCTGTAGGACAACCTCCCTCATAGCAGTCACCTCTCGATTGAGCTCCTTCAATGCTTTTATGGTATCATTGAATAAGCCTTCTGTCCAATTGGCCAGCAGATGGAGATCTCTATAATTCATGGCTGCCCCTAAAGAAGGAAGCAGGGCTCGTGATATCTGGGTCCCAATATAGTGGTTAAGAGGTGTATTAACTGCCCTGCGGTTACGCAGCCTGAGAGATGTTGGTAGCTTTTCCACCTTATATAAAAGGGGGATCACCATTCCCAAGGTACAGACTCCAGTAAGGTCTCGGGGAACAGTTTTGAATGCTGCATCGCCACAAATCAACCATAGTTCCTTCGGAAGAAGGCGACTGGTGTTTCAGCGTTGCTCTGACCACTGGAAGGCTTGCGAAAACAGAAGGCTCATGTGCCATTGCTCCTCAGTGAAGTTTAACAGGGCTATAACGGAAGAGTTGGATCTAGAGCTTTCGTGGAGGTGGTGCATGTCTGTCAGTAATTTGGAGCTAGTATCAGATTGATAACACCGGGAGGTATTACCATAAGGAAAGAGGGCGGTACAGGTCCTATTGAATACAAAATTTAAGACATAATGGCAATTGGGGTAAATCCCTCTTAGATTTGACCCTTCAGAAAAATTCAAACAAATAAAGGCTGGCTCGGACAGGGCTATTTTTACAGGTGGCCATTGAGCTTCCTCGGGGTTCAACGTATTTTCTATGCTAAAGATGGTATCAATGGGAATTCCGTGTAGCATCAAACCTGGCCGTTGCGCATAAGGTGGTATATGCATACACAGCCAACAATCGGAGAGTTGTAACATAGTAGCGAACTTAAACATATCCTTGATATAAACATTGTCTTCCCACATCTTATGGTAATCATCTCCCCTGGATGTCTTGTTTAACAAACCTGTTCCCCCTTGGCCTTGCTTGCCAGTCCTTGCCTCTCCCCCTACAATAGCCAACATAAGATATACTATGAGGATCATCATGGGGATAGAAGGATCTGGCCGTCGTCTCCCGCAGAGCCTGTGACGCTCATGCCAGCAAAAGAAAACACACATCCATAAGACAAGAGCGGTTGAGATAACCCCTATCCACCAACCCCAATTCTTCCATGGTTCCTCCCACCAATATTCAGGGGGTGTGCTCATTGTTGAAGAGCCCACTGATCTTGGTGCCCGACTACCTGTTGAGCCTCAAGGATGAGAGCCCACCGGTGAGCTGATGCTCCCACTATGTGGGTCAATTTTTCTACTAACCCTGTCGGGTGGATTGAACTCTCGTGCTGCCTCCCTAGTGACCAGAGGTGGCAATTCTTACTGGCACTTGTTTAGCAATTTCAATGCACACCTGGTTAAGGCTCCCACCCCTGCAATACTTGCATCAAGATAGGTTCCGTCTCATCTATCGCCTGGATTAAGAGTAGGACCTGGTCTATCAAATGAGGTTGGTACACTGCTCTACCGCCCAGATAACAGTTGACTACCCTCCCACAACAGCAAGAGCGGTCCAGAACTCGATAGATTTCGATTGTCTCTGCAACTTCCCGTATGAGCACTATCCACGCGTGCTGGACAGTGGTGTGGGAGAGGAGCCACAACGGGGCAGTGGGGTGTTTCAATACGGCAATCTCATCAAACCCCAGCCTCCAATAGCCAATGAGCACACCATCTCTTACCACCGGCAAGACGAACCAGTCGTAGCAGAGGCCAGCAGGCCAATAAGGGCGGTATGGCTCAGTGGGGTCAGGGCTGTGGGACATAGAGCAGATAACAAAAAGGAAAGAGAAAGTCCTTATGGAAATATTAAATGTCCTGGTGAACTTCCTGGATTAGTCCCGGTACGGAGTTGGGGACGCTGCCCGCGGGCGCCCCTCCCATCCAATTCTTCAGCTGTGCGTTGAGATATCAGCTTCCGGTGTGATATCAGCAGAGCGGTCGTCCGCCAGGCGTCTGGAGATGGTCAGCCGAAGGGAGTTCTCCGGATCTGGTGTTACTGTCCAATCCGAAATGGCTTTCTTCACTCGAGTATGGTGGACCCACGGGGTGATGCCGGCAACCTTCACAGCAGTAGGGGTAGAGAGTAGCACGGTGTATGGTCCCCTCCAGCAGGGCTGTAGGGGGGCTCGCTGCCAGTCTTTCACCCACACTTCGTCACCTGGCTCGAACTGATGGAGCGGTTCAGTTAACACACATGGGGTGCGAGCCTGGGTCCACCTGTTGAGATAAGAAAGAACTCGGGAGAGTGACTGTACATAATTATTCAATTGCACATCTTGGCTAACATACGGATTTAACATTCTAACATATGGGACTGGTCTCCCAAACAGAACTTCAAAAGGTGACAAGTGGGTCCGTTTTGACGGAAGACTGCGGACCCTGAGTAATGCCAAGGGCAACATGGCCACCCAATTAGACCCGGTTTCCTGTGTCAGCTTGGACAGCTGATTCTTTAGAGTCCTGTTCATCCTTTCTACCTTTCCAGAACTCTGGGGTCTATAAGCAGTATGCAGCTTCCAGTTGATCTGAAGCGCTTTAGCCAGTCCCTGTAGGACTGCATGAACGAATGCTGGTCCATTATCAGATCCTATGGATCTTGGCAACCCATAGCGAGGGATGATTTCCTTAAGCAGGCACCTGGTTACATCAATTGCCTTTTCAGTCTTTGTTGGCCATGCCTCGACCCATCCGGTGTAGGTGCACACTGCCACCAGCAGGTAGCGATATAATCCACAACGGGGTAATTCAGTGAAGTCTACCACAAGATCTTCCATTGGTGCAGTTCCACTGTGCTGAACTCCCGGAGGAGCCAGTGGTCCGGTTCTGGGATTATTCTTTTGACATAGCAGGCATTTTCTGGAAACCTGGGCTGCCAGTTGATAAAGGTGGGCTATATAGAAGCACTTTGCCAGCTGCTTGGTGGTAGCATCTGGCCCCATGTGGGTTGACTCATGGTATCTCTGAGTTATTTGCCGAGACAGGGACTCTGGAATCCATATCCTGTCATCAGGTGTGAGGTACCATCCTTCGTTGGTCAATGTCAACTCCTGGGCGTCTGCAGTGTCCCTTTCCTGTTTTGTGTAAGCCGGCTTGTCAGCAGTGCTTAAAATCTCTTCTGGGATCAGTGCTCCAATGATCGGAGCTGTGGCCAGTTCCCGGGCTGCTTCCTTGGCCACTTTGTCTGCCAAACGATTTCCTCTGGCCACTTCCCCTGGTCCAGTTGTGTGTCCATAACAATGGATAACCGCTACCGCTTCAGGTTCCCATACAGCATCCAGAAGGTTCAACAAAGCTTGTGGGTGGGCCACCTGGTTTCCTCTGGAGGTAAGCAAACCTCTCTCTTTCCATAAGGCTCCATGGGCGTGTAAGGTCAGGAATGCATACTTAGAATCAGTATAGATGTTTATCTTCTGCCCCTTTGCCAGGCTCAAGGCTCTGGTAAGCGCAGTTAGTTCTGCCAGCTGGGCCGATGTTCCAGGCGGGAGTGACTTTGCTTCGACCACCTGGTCGTCCAGGGCTACCACTGCATAGCCTGCTTTTCGCTGCCCAGCCTCGACAAAGCTGCTTCCATCCACAAACCATGAAAGCCAGTGGGGGTCTGCTTCGTCTTTGAGATCAGGCCTGCTGGAATATACTTCGTCCATTACTTCAATGCAATCGTGCGTCTGCTCCTCACCTTCTCCTACCGGCAACAGGGTAGCTGGGTTGAGGGCGGTGGTGACCTGGAACTTCAGACGTGGGTGCAACAATAACATCTGACACTTTCTCATCTTCGCTTGGGAGAGGAAATAGGTACCCTTCATGTCAAGCAGTGCTGGGACTGCATGCGGAGTCACACAAACAGTGTCTTGGCCAAAAGTAAATTTGTCAGCTTTGTTCAGTAGGGTGGCTACTGCCACAACTGCTCTCATACATGGCGGTAAACCTTGTTCTGTGGGCGTCAGGCGTTCAGATAGGTATGCCACGGGTTGTTGCCAGCTCCCCAATTTTTGGCATAGCACTCCCTTCGCTGTTCCCTGGTCCTCATCCACAAACAGGGAGAAAGGCTTCTCAGGATTTGGGATACCCAGCGCTGGTGCTTGCTGCAATGCCCTTTTCAGATCCTTGAAGGCCTGCCGTTGCTCCTCTCCCCACACAAAGGGGTCCTTCTCAGTTCCTCTGGTTGACTCGTGCAGAGGCTTGGCAATTGTGCTGAAGTCAGGGATCCATATTCTACAGAATCCTGCCGAGCCCAAGAAGCCACGAAGTTCTCTGCGATTCTTTGGCTCTGGAATCTGGATAATGGCTTGCTTCCTTTCTTCTCTAAGGGTCCGTTGCTGATGGGATATATCAAATCCAAGGTATTTTACAGTGGGTTGGCATATTTGGGCCTTTTTCTTAGATACTCGGTATCCTGCTTCAGCCAAGTGATTTAACAAATCCTTGGTGGCTTTCATACACGTGTCCTCGTCTGAACAGGCCAAAAGAAGGTCATCTACGTACTGCAACAAGACCCTGTGTGGGCTGGTGGGGAAGCTAGACAGGTCCGAGGCCAATGCTACCCCAAAAAGGGTTGGAGAATTCTTGAAACCTTGTGGAAGCCTCGTCCACGTATATTGCACCTTGGTGCCTGTTCCTGGATCCATCCATTGAAATGCAAACAGGGGCTGACTTTCCTCTGCCAGACGGCAGCAGAAGAATGCATCCTTCAAGTCCAGTACCGTGAAATAGCAGGCAGTAGGAGGTATTAAACTCAACAGCGTGTAAGGATTGGGCACATTGGGGTGGAGGGTTTCCACGGCTTGGTTGACCAATCGGAGGTCTTGGACCGGGCGGTACGTGCCATCCTCCTTCTTTACCGGCAAGAGTGGGGTGTTCCACTGAGATTGACACTGTCTCAGGATGCCATGGCGAAGCAACCGTTCCAAATGTATCCATACTCCTTCTGCAGCTCGCCGGGGGATAGGGTATTGGTTCACGGCCACAGGGTTAGCAAATGGCTTGGGCTTAACTATTACAGGTGGGATGTTCTTTGCCATTCCGGGTGGGTTGCTTTCTGCCCATACACCAGGGTTAACTTCTTGCAGGAGGTCCTCTGGAATAGTCCCCTCCTCTTCTTTTACCATCATTAAGCGCCAGTGTTCCCTTAAGGGTACCTCTAAGGAAAGCTCTCCTGTTTGCCCTGTAGTCATTGTCACTTCTCCTGTCGGTTGAAAGGAAATCTGGGCTTGCAATTTTGATAGCAGGTCTCGGCCCAATAATGGGATGGGACACTCTGGTATATACAAAAACTTGTGTTGGACTACTTGGCCGCCCAGGCAACAGGCAACAGATTGCAAGAAGGGGGCTCTTTGTGATTTCCCTGTGGCTCCTATTATGTTAATTGTTTGCTTGGTGGGCTTGGACACTGGCATGGGCAAAACAGAGTGGGCGGCTCCTGTGTCAACCATAAAGGGGATAGTTTGGTTCCCTGTTTGTATTTTGACCATGGGCTCACGGGAACCTAAAGCAGCTGGGCCCGGTCTGTCCTAGTATCCTTCCTCCTCTCTCAGGCTCATCATGCCAGGCTGCCTTTGGGCTGAGGGGTACCAGGGAGGTCCCTGTCCACGTCCTCTACCCCTGCTAGCATTTGTCGATGACCAAGGTCTTAGGTCCTGTCCAGGTCCCCTGGGGATTGGGCCTGGGGCTCGTTCTCCTCGTCCTCTCCCTCCTAAGTGGGCCTGTGGGCATTCTCCTTTCCAGTGCCCTTCCTGCCGGCAGATGGCGCACTGATTCCTCCCCAGGCGGCCTTGCCCTCCTCCCCGGGCACTTCCTCTTTTCTGAGGGATGGGTGCGGTAGCCTGCAACGCCATCAACTTTTTTGCTTGATACTTCTCCTTTTTCTTTTGTTCCTCGTCTTCCCTCTGATTGTAAGTGGTTTGAGCCAGTTCTAACATCCACTCAAGGGTGTGGCCCAAGAACCCCTCGTGTTTTTGAATTTTTCGGCGGACATCGGGCGCTGCCTGAGCTACAAAAGCAGCCTTGACAATAAGGGCGTTGGCAGCCTCATCTGGGTCTACAGGAGTATACTGACGGTAGGCTTCCTTCAGGCGTTCCAGGTAAGCCCCTGGGGCCTCTTCATTCCCCTGCACTACCTCTCTGACCTTCACAAAGTTGGTGGGTTTCCTGGCTGCCCTCCTCATACCATTTAACACATTCTGGCGGTAGGTAGTGAGGGTTTTCTGGCCCTCAGTAGTCTGATAATTCCAATTCGGTGTACTATCAGGGTATCCTGTTATAATGTCTGGCTCCGGTGTTCCCTGTGCTCTCATGTGTACTCGGGCTTCAACATGGATTCGCCTAGTTTCTTCTGTGGTTAACAGCGCATCCATCAAATACTGCACATCATCAAAAGTGGGATTATAGGTTTTAAAAATCCCTTCAAACAATTTTATAATCTTTGCTGGATTCTCCTCAAAGGAAGGATTTTGATTTCTCCAATTGCAAACATCTGCACTTGAAAAGGGTACATGCTGGACCGTGTAGGTCCGTGGTGCCTCCGCCCCACCAGGCCCTGGAGGTCCCGGTGGGTCATAAACCCTTCGGAGGGGCATTACTCCTGCTGCCTGACCCTTCCTGGTTTTCTCATATTGTCTATGAGACATAACTCTCTTCGCCGCCTCTCCCCACTTACGTTGCCATTTCTTTCTCCTGTCCGGGGTACAACATTCTGCTGCCTCAACTAACAAGGGGCTCACATCCAACTTCTCCGCATAGGGGCTCACAAATGCCGCAATGCGTTCCTCTTGTTCCTTGGTCCACTTCTTACTCTCCCCCGTCCATCTTATCAACATCTCTATAAATTCCTCATCATCTCCTTCCTCCTTCTTTTCCTCTAAATCATCATTCATTAACAAGTCGCTGTCCTTTTGTTCTGGGCTTGATGGGGGGCTTGCTTGGGCTTGGGGGCCAGCTCCTCCCGGTGCTTGGGGACCTGGGCCTGGGGGAATTGCTGGAGGGGCAGTTGGTGGAGCATAGGGTGGTGGTGGTCTGATGACTCCCCCCTCCTCATCTTCTGGGTCTGGTATCACCGGGGGCTTTTCTGCCTTCCCTGCCGGTCGAACTGCACAAATTGTATTTCGTGGGGCGTCGCCTTGGCAGGCTTTCAACCATGGTGGATTCTTTTCTACATTGGTTTTCCAAGTAGAAATGTAAGGGATTTGGTCGGGGTGGACATTCAATATGTTCTGATATAATGGGCTGATTAGTTGCAAATCAAAGCTTCCTCCTGACGGCCAATTAGTTTGTGCGGGCCAGTCAACTTCACATAATGTCCTCATTCTCTGTTTTCGCAATTTGATTCCCCAATCATCATGCTTTGTGGCCGCTTTCCAGTTGTTTAAAAAACATTCCAGAGGACTACATTGGCTTGCCCCAGACCCCATTTTTTTTTTTTTTTTTCCCCTTCAGATACTCCGCACCTGACTGGGCTGTAAATTCTTTCACACTTCACACGATTCAGATTGTGGTCTGGACGAGGTCTCCCTGCCAGAAAACGCACAATCCTGCAATCGCCCGGCCAAGGGGAACGCTAGGCCCCGGCCCACACTCAAAATTCACTCACAGGAGTATCTGAACACGCAACATACAACATACAAATCATTCCATTATGATTCCAACATGCAACACACAAAACACACCAATACAATTTCCCTTCTGTTTCCCTTTCACCCAACCTTACTGGCGGCCCCCCCCCTGTTGCCACGGCCAGTTCCTTTCCTGGTAGCACTGTACTGCTATGACCAGGTGAGGCTGATCAGACCTCTGGCCCTTACCCTTGGGCCCCTAGCCCTTTCCTTGGGCCCCTAGCCCTTTCCTTCGGGCTTACCTTTTGCTTTCCGCTGCGGATTCCCTCTTTTGGCCTCTTTCCTCCCTCGACCGAGGTCCCCACTCAGGAGCGGTGTGGCCGGTTTCCCCCACGAATCAGTAGGGTGCGCGCTTGAAGCCTGCAAACTCCGGTCCGAGCTGTCCACCTGGTCGAGCCTGGCTCTTCCCGGCCCCCTGGGGTGGGGCAATTTCCCGGCCAACGCACCAAGCTGTAGGCTTATGCCTTTTACTTTGCCGGAGAATTGCTTACCCGCGTCCCCAGGACCGAGAAGAGAATAAAAAAATTCCAGGAAAGTTTCTTCTTTGGAGAAAAGAGTTTTATTGCAAATCTGTGCACAGAGACAGCCAGCAGAATATAGTTTCTGAAATCTGACTGTGTTGTTACCATGTTCAGCAAGCATTTTTATACCTGAAAGCATTCACCCTCCTCCCATACCTCCCCCCAAAACTTCCCCAATCAGCTGGCAAGTTTTCAACTCATTCCCTTTTAGGGCATATCAATATTTGCTGGCTAAGGCTGCTAGCTAAGCACTTCCTCTGCTGGTTAAGCATTTTCTCTGCTCAGTAAGCACCCCCTCCCACCTCCTTGTACACGTGTCTTCTTTTGCCAGCTAAGCATTCCCTTCGTATCTCTTATCTTGCATTACTTAAAGCAGAAGCAAAGCAGGAAACATCTTGCTAGTGGTTTTTAGTTAACAGCAGTTTCTGGCTAGGCAGGAAACGACCTTCTGACCTGTGGCTAACATCAGCAGTTTCAGATAGCTGGTTAGGCAGGAAACGGCCTCTTGACCTGTCTGATTTAGATTCTGCAAGCGACTGCAGTCTTGAGCTGTTTAACCACAATAGCTTAGTGCAGGAATTTACTATGTGTAGATAATATTAATGATTAATCGTTCCCCTCTCCCTTCACACATTAGTGGTTATTGTTGGAATTGGGAGGTACGTGATTAAAAGCTCCCCCCATAAGCGAGAGGCTAGACCAGGGTTGTCTAATTTTTTTTCAAAGAGGGCCAAATTTGATGAAGTGAACCAAAGGGCTGACCACCAAAGTTGTTGACCTTTTTTTAGGATTGAAGTTGTTGAGCTATTTTTACGATTTTACCACCGGGAAAAATGTACATGCTTGGGCTAGAAGGACTTCCTCTTTGTTTCCCTTCCTCTGGCAGGATAAGACCTTATTAATCAGACAGACCACTGAAAACTGAAGTGCAGATGATGTTGACCACCTAGCTGCTGCCAGAGCAAACTGCACTTTAGTGCTGGTTCTGAGTGTGTCTTAATGTATTTTTAACTATTGGTTTATTACTTTGCATTTTATAATGATGCTTTTAAAGCCGCCGTGAATCCCAGTTTGGAAGAAAGGTAGACTATACTAAATAAATAAGTAGGTATTTGGGGATGAGGGAGTGCAGTGTGACATGCATCTGCAACCCCATCATCTGGAGGTTTTCAAGGCTGGGAGGGTCAAATCATAGCTGTCAAGTGTCCCTTATTTGAAGGGACAGTCCCTTATTCCAGCGCCATGTCCTGCTGCTGTCCATTATCGATGGATGTCCGTTAAATGTCCCTTAAATGATGTCCCTTAAATTTCAAAGGAAGCAGCTCCTCTCCCTCCCTCCCTGCCGGCCAGGGAGGAGGGAGGCTCCAACTGTGTTGCTTGGCTGTGTTGCTCACCCAATAAGGAGTCTAAGAACGACTGGGGGGTGGAGCTTGCATGCCTTGTGTGTGGCTAGTTCAGTGTTTTTCAACCTTTTTTGGGCAAAGGCACACTTGTTTCATGAAAAAAAATCACGAGGCACACCACCATTAGAAAATGTTAAAAAATTTAACTCTGTGCCTATATTGACTATATATAAAGTAATTCTCTTGAATAGGAATCAAATAAACACAAAGAAAGTATTTTATAATTACTTTATTATGAAATAGAAGTGAACAGAAATGTGAAAAATTATAAAATACTTTATTTTTAAATCTTTCGAATTTTTCAATTTTTCCCACGGCACACCAGGCAACATCTCACGGAACACTAGTGTGCCGCGGAACAGTGGTTGAAAAACACTGGGCTAGTTAATGCAAGCCGAGGAGTTTTTTGAATGCTGGATGCCATTTTGTTGCACGTGCTGCTGCAAACTTTGCAGTGCAAAGCCAGGCCGGGGAGCCATCTTAAGTTGAGGCTGCATAGGCCTTGTGGTGCATGTGATTCAGATTCTAGTCAGTTGAACCTCTGGTTGCAAAGTTGGTTGGGCAGTGTTCTCGAGGCTACCCAGCATGAGTTTGACCAGACGGCAGGAGGACAGGAAGACTGGAGTGCCTGGAACAGGTGAGGCTGCAGGTCCCTTATTTTGGCTGCTGATCCCTTATTTCAAGGCTGCTGGTCCCTTATTTTCAAATTTGTAAATTGACAGCTATGGCTTAAATAAAGATTTTTAAATAATGGTTCAGTTTGGCTCCCAGCCTTTGATGCTGGGAGGGAATACAGAGGTATAGCAGGTAAAAAGGGATGGCTTAACCCTTGCTGCTCCCATCATATTTAACTTGCAGCAGAGGTTTGCATCCAGAAAGGGGGAAATGGCCTGGAGAACAGTATTTTTTTGGGGGGGGGAGCAGCAGGAGGTGAGTTTTCCTGCAGTTTCTCCACTTCAGTGTCCCACCACCCAATTCATTTTGGGCCTCAGATGTTAGAAATCCAGTGATTGTTGTCTAAGGGCACCTCCTTACTGTCACTATTTTGGGGTGAGATTCAGTCACCTACTGGCAAGATTCTGGTTGCGCAATTGTCATGGATTGAGCACTTTTATGCAAGAAACCCACTTCTCTAAAAGCCTGGATTTAATTTAGTTGTATTAAATTTATATACCGCCCTTCATCTGAAGAAATCCGGGTGGTTCACAATATTTCTGGCAACAAGGAAAGAGATGGGGGGGTGCATTTGAAATTGTGGGATAACACTTGCTTTGTGCTGCCTTGCACTGCTATTTATTGTAAAATGGCTTTCTGGTATCATCTGCCCCTCTGCGCTTCAAGCTTTGGAGAGAGCTTAATGGAAAGGTGAACTTGTGGAACAGCTGCCAGTGCTACTGAGGATGAAGCAGGAACCTTGAAAAGCCCAACGATAGCAGATAGAAGCCCCTGTTCTGAACAGATGGCATTCACCTGTGTGAGCCATTTACAGGTAAGCTCCCATCTCTTCCTCCTGCGATGCCTGAAACATCACCTATTATTGGTGAAAAGGAGGTTCTTATGTAGGGACCGATAGTGAGATATTTGAGTCCCACATCCCTTTAGGACTTCCTGAAACTAACCTGTGCACCCTGAAATGGGATTGAACACTAATAGTCAAGCCGTGGGCTGCTTCATGCTCCTTCTCACAGCCATCCCCACCAGCAATCTGGCTGCTGCATTCTGTACTTTCCCAAACAGTTTCAGTGGGAGCATCACATAGAGCACCTTGCAGCTACCAGAGCATAGAGTATTAGTTCAGTCTTTCATTTGTGTGAAACAATCATAGTGGTACCTCGGTTCTCAAACGCCTTGGTACTCAAACAACTTGGAACCCAAACACTGCAAACCAAAAAGTAACTGTTCCGGTTTGTGAACCTTTCCTGGAAGCCGAACATGCTCCGTTTTGAGTGTTATGCTTCTGATTGAGTGCCACGCTGAGATCTGTCTTTTTGTTTTGCGGCTCTTTTTTGTTTTGTTTTTGTGACTGTGTGGAACCCAGTTCAGCTACTGATTGATTGATTGATTGATTGTTGTGCCACTGCAGTACATTTTTGCTTTCATTTTTTTCATTTTTTTTCATTTTTTCATTTTTTTCAATTTTCAATGAATTGCTTTCATTTTATGGATCAATAGTCCCGTTAGATAGTAAAATTCACATAAATTGCCATTTTAGGGGTTGTTTTTTAAAAGTCTGGAACAGATTGAATCCATTTTGCATTACTTTTCTATGGGGAAGCGCACCTTGGTTTTTGGGAACGCTTTGGTTTTGGAGCAGACTTCTGGAACAGATTTGAGAACCATG